CACACAAAATGTCTTGTGTCAGTTTCAAGTCTTCCACTGCATGCAATTAGTGCTTGATGTACCCTCCTGAACACAAGTATCCGAATGAATTGAAAATACTAGATACATGTGGATTTTCTGTGCAGGCTTCCGAAGGTGTTTCCCCTCTATCTCAATCATTGACACCTATCGTTTTATAAGCACTCTGATCAGATAGAATGAGGGTGAAAAAGATGAAAAGACGACTGTTGCATGAAACATGTACGTTTCATGTGATTTCGGAGAATATTTGTCGCACGAATACGTCATATCTTTGCACAGTTGATACAGGTGTGCTGATAACAGCCACGTATGTCTCTCACCTACTCTCGAGCTACTTCAGACAGTTGGAGCGATGAGTAGGCGCAGAGTTTGCGTGGAATACAATAACATGAAACTGTGACTAGTAAATATGTGAGATGAATAAGCATCAATATCTCTGCATGACTGTTGTAATTATTTGTAATCGTAGTATTAGTATTTCGATATGACCGAATTACAAGAATTCAACCAAATCACAGAGAGGGTGGAATTCAGGAATTTCTATTTAGCGGTATTATAATGCAATTCATATAAGAAATATGTTAACAATCAACAGTAAGTATTTAAAGAATAAAGAGATAGAAATTGTCAATCACCACATCCCCCACACCTCGAATATCTCCTTGCGTATTTGTAACGATGTCTCGTTTTGCTTGCAAGTAGCTTCGACCTTCTCACTGATTCTGTGATATTACTTTCATCAGTTTTATCTGGACTTATTTCTGAATTATCTACAAAATCAGGATTATTAGCGGAATCAATAATATTATAATTGGAACGACCTACTTCATTTATTGTCACTTTGTCCAGGTGTCCGTCATGAACTGAGTGATCTTTGATGTCTAATATCTTCACCACTCGATTTCCCATTTTTTGTAGTACGATTCCAACAGAAGGTCTATAGTCATTCCCTTTGTAATATTGTACATTAGAAGTCGCGGACATCAAATGCTTTTTGAGAATTCGAGATTTGAATAGTTTTGCAGGACTTTCATGAGTACTTGTATGTTCTGCAATCAACAGACGCAGTCTATGCAGACGCAGAAATTCTCCCCATTTAATTAGTGGCTCTCTCATCTCATTCAGTTTTTTTCGTGTTTTCGACAGTTCGCATTGTAAACTGGCTACCACATTTTTGAAAACAGTTGACGCTTGAGTTGCTGAACTTGTAGAAGATGTTTTCATTGGATGAGATTGATTATTTTTGAAAGTTGAAAGACACATTGACTCCATTTTACTAGACAGATTGGGAGAATTATAAGAATTCTGAGTAACATAAGTATTCGAACTTCTGCAAACAGTCTTGATGTGTCCAACTTTACCACATTTATGGCACTTAGCACCCCGAAAACGGCAAGTGCTTCGTAGATGTAACTTTCCACAGGAAAAACACGGTTTAATGTTTTTGATCTCTCGCTGCATTCTATTACATGTGGACGGCAGTTTGGATTGCTTTCCATGAACACTTGTATTTTCGACTTCGGACAGCATGACATCAGATACTGACGTAGTGGGAGAAGAGTATTCATTATTGACATCTTCTTACATATGAAGATGTACATAAATTTTAAGCAGTTTGAAAAGTACAAGAAGGAATCTGAATTAACTCTTTCTCTAACTTAGGAATATTGATTCCAGCAATTAGACGATCACGTAGTTGAGTATACAGCTGATCTCCAAAGTTACACTTTGAAGCTTGTATTTGGAGTTGAAGAATAAAGTCTCTTATCTTCTGCTTGGGAGCACGAACCAGTTTGTTGAATTGAGCCCTCTCTCTGGTCTCAAATGTAGTCACATGAAAGTGATTTATCAGAAGTTCACGAATCTTGTCATATGACAGAGAAATGGGTTTATCTGGAAACGCCAGAGTCTTTACTAGGATATATGCATCTAGCCCAATAGCAGTGATGAAATTTGCTGGTATTTTGTCATCCCGAACGTTCTTTGAAATGCACCATGCATTGAAGCATTCAACGTAATCAACAATCTCCCGCGGTGAACCATTTATAAGAAATTTTCCATCGCAACGCCAATTTGTAGTAATTATTTGTAATCGTAGTATGAGTATTTCGAGATGACCGAATTACAAGAATCCAAACGAAACACAGAGAGGGCGGAATTCAGGAATTTCTATTTAGCGGAATTATAATGCAATTCATATAAGAAATATATTAACAATCAACAGTAAGTATTTAAAGAATACAGAGATAGAAATTGTCAATCACCAAAATATCGTATGAAACTTGTGTCATCCAGTTTCAAGTGTCACGTCTATGAAGATTTTTCATGTGAAAGCACTTCACCATATGCATTTCTTCTCATTTCAGTGTTGATCGCCATCCACGATGTGAAGACATATACACTAAAAGGTGAGTCAGACGGAGTTTCTGTGAATTAGTTTATCTTCATGTTAAGAAGGGATGAGCTAGACATTGAACGAGGGAAATCGGTCTCCTGTCTAAAATTCATCTTCGCGACTCATTCCAACAGGTAGACAACGACATCTTCCATCCTAGTGTCCCACTCAACTATCTTAGAGACAGACTTACATCAACTGCACGAACAATATCTCCGTTGAGTGTTCGCTTCAGTTAATAGGGAGTTTCGTGTCACCGACTCCAGCTTATTGCACCTTCCATCATTTCTCAAAAACACAGTTGTATGAAACTCCCTGCTTCAGTAAAGTCTGTTAATTTATTTTACAATCTGGACGAACTTGAGGTGGAGTTTACAGATTCAGTATTTCAGTGGCCTGCTTTATTATGCGCAGTGACAGGAGAGAGTCGTGCTTAACCAGCACTGGATGTTTGTTTTCAATACAAGTTAGATTTGTTTGTCAGATTTACACTCTGCAGGCGTAATCGGTTAACAATTGATACCGGCCACCAGTTCGCCTCCGACATTGGTTAGGCTGACTTAAATGAAGTGTGTCGTGCATGCTGCTGACCTGTGGGTCGGACTGAATAATATATTGCTTAGTCACGCTTTCATGATTCAAAAGTAGAATTGCTTTCTGACTTGCGCATTCCCGTTGATCAGTTTCACTGGTATATTGTTGCTGTCAAAGTTATCAACACTAATCTCTTGTTTCACCCATATGAACCACATCCGATTTGCAGACAACTTGACGGATGCCATACAACAATATAGTCACGTATATCAAAAGGCCGAGTTGGTGGAATGTAAGTGAATAAAAGTGATTCTCTTTGTCCACGGATTCTCTTTGTTCATTGACGATTACTTGTATTTGTATTTGTGTTCATCACATGCATGTCTTGTTAAGTCTCCTGAGAGGATTCTACAATCCCTTCTTCTCGTTCATCTAGATGACCTGCTGAAAATGGCGACCAATAAAGACTTGAAATTCACACAAGAACAGTTTGAAATCGGTGAGTTAAGGGATAGTGTGAAGTGTGCTCAGTACAAGCGATACGATCCTTCTTGTGTTTGTGAATAGTGTAGACACTTTCCCATTGCTTCTGTTTACGTGTGCAATAAATTGACGCGTTCAAACTACTGAACATTTCCAGTTCAGAACACGTTCTCTGACCTTCATTCATGTATTGTCAAAGGGAGCATTATGAAGTTTATATACACAAGCCTAACCTTGGCCAAACATGGATATATATATATATATATATATATATATATATATATCTGCTTCGACGAGTCTTTTCAACTCACTGTCGATTCGTGCAGTTTACAGTTAGAAGGACGAAGTCAGTTTCACATGCACATCATTTCACCTCCCTCAGACGGTTGTCTCTGTGATTGAAACATCCTGTGAAGAGAATGTCTTGTCTGCTTGCTCATGATATATTTACTTCTTGCATCACTTGCTTATTATCTGTCGTCTCGATTTCAGAGCATCAGAAAGTGGAGCGCGAATACATGTTGACATGGGCAGTTGCTTATCTTGAAGGTATGCTATGCATATTCCTCCCATCATATTGCCTATAAATAATGAGACTAATTGTGATTCAGCGTATATTGTGAAATAGACCTCATCATCTGTCTACCAGGAGGGCTTTCACATTACTCAAGACAATATTATTCACATCTGTGTGCAGTGTGACTTCACTAGGAATCGTAACCACATTGTTTGTGATCAACTCACCTCTTGACACACATTTCAGGATGAAGCTATTCACAGGAATCTTCGACATACACGTCCCTCTTCCTTTCAACATCACCTCACTCAACTCAGGATGTTCCCAGTGAATTCCATACGAATTTACATGTATATCTTGATAACGAGTAGAAGTGAGCATGAGTATGTTACAGACGGCGTGTATTGCTGTCAGGGTAGTTAGTGAATAATAATGACAGTGATCTGGGCTATTCACACCATCCAAACTCCGACTGCACAGAATTTAAAGTGGATTCACTGTTTGCTAAGCTGTCCGAATATTTACATCATCGTGCAACGTTTGACGTTCACAATTCGGACGACTCAATCACATGCATGCATATAACTTCACTCCATCTGAAAATCTTTATGACGAGGCTTATTGCTTTTGTTTCCATTCAATCTGTTAGCTGTGAAAGATATTTGGGGATTGAGAAATAATGCAGACATCGCGAAACTACAACTTCAATATTCAGGTATGCATTTGCACAACACTTATGTGTGAGTGAGGATTTGTCATGCGAATCACACACTCATATGAATAGCTTCCCAACATGAAATCCAACACCGGATATTGATTGCATCCTCATGGAGCGTGTATTTAACCAAATGGCGAGTTCTTCGCCTGTATTAGCATTCTGTCCACAATGTATCCGATGGATTCACTCAAATGTCTGTGATCGGTTTTTGTATTACAGGTGAATCCTCTAAAATTCCTAAGAACTCATGTAAGTTCTGGTTAATTTGAAGTGTCTTTTCTGTCATGTGAAGAATCCACATGAAATACGTCCACGGAGGTCTGAATTCGTCAGAGTTTGACACGTGAGAATTGAGTGTAATCGTCAGTTTTCTTTGCATGAATATCGCGTGTTAACACCTAGTCAATTCATTGATAAGCTACTGGAAGCCTTGATGACAGACGGACCAATACGCACACACATACACACACACGCACACACTCGACGTGGTTTCAGACCACATCTCTTCACCAACGGGATTGGTGTGAAATCCGCTTATCGGTATATGCTCACTATGGAACATCAGCCACTGCGAAACACCAGTGTATTTCCTTCATCGAAAAGAGTATTTTGTTCTCCACTAATCACACTTTGAAATGCTTAATGGTAATGTTTAGTGGAGTAAATTCGTGTTGAATCTTCGTATTCCAGGTTATCACATGGAAAGTAGAACGGAAAATGAGAACACTCGAAAAACAATACGATACGGTGAGCGAGATTCATTATCCTATTCGACTGTGTGTGTGACAAGTGGACTGATACACATTTACATGAGAATAAGGACGGTGATCGAGAAGGCGTGGAGACAGAAATCACTTGTCCAATGATCCGAAGACGATTGCATGTAAAGAGAATGGCGAAAGAATAGTATTCGCTCTCGAAACAACCTGACCACTTACCTCTAGATGAGTTGAAGCATGCGTTTCTTCTGCACAACACTATGATGAAACTTCTAAGATGTGAATACACACCGAGACGCCATGAGGAAATGAAATCACCTCTCGAGTCATTTAAAATATGCATCATTCCCGGTCAGCTTGTGTCTACCACTGTCGACAACTTGAACATCTCGAACTGCAGCCGAAATGCATTGCTCTCAGTTTGTTTCAAACCTGTCCACTCAACCTGACTGCACACCAACGTGGTGATCTACACTTCTGCTCAAATCACTTGACGATACCTGTGCTGGATATCACGGGATAATTGACAGCATTAGTGACTATACTGAGTAGTTCCGAACTGTAGACCTCACATATGTCGGACACACGACAATCTAGACAGTTCCACTTCACTCTCCTAGCTCCACGCTATGCCCAAATTCAAATTCAATTCGAATGTGGATCACCCATGAAAGTGATCGTTCTCATTTGTGATGTGTATGTGAGTTTGATCTCTTCCGCCTTATCATCCTCTGTCTATCGTATGTGTTGTTTACTGACAACAGGTTGCGATGTCATGCATAAATATGCTTCGTTGAAATGGCAGACCAGATTACACCTAGATAACTTGTCAGGTGAGTTCAAGTTGGATGAATTGTATGCAGTATATTTTTGATCATGTGGTGACTAAGAAATGGTAACAGAATGATTTCACGTAGAGATTCAACTCAACTTCAACTACTTTCATGTGATCGATTGACTTTTGAAAAAGAATTCCTGTGTGTTGTGGCTCAGAAATCCAACGTCAGCATTTATCAGGATATATCTTGTCCAATTCACAATCACATATTTCATCATGTCGAAATGTAAAGAAGTAGTGTGAATATGTTTTGCCAGTCTTAATTTCAATTTCACCATTGATCAAACATTCACAAGGAATTCGCCACCGCCATTCTCCTCTATTAGATATGTGTGCTCATCGTCGAGTCTCACTGATTTGCTTTCAAATAGTCACATTTCACAGTTAAGGAGGTGTTTTCATGTCTCTCTTATCTGTGCTTCTCCCAAAAGCTAAATATCTGCAAGAACTGGATAGAAGAGACTCCTCAGAATATTTGGAAGACAGAGGTGAGTTGAAATCAGTGTTTCGCTGATGTTCACGAGTGTATTTCATCTGATTGCATTTCAGTTCATGTTGTTTGCATGTCACCGAGAATTTGCAGTGGGACGGAGTTCAGAGGAAGTCAGTCTGCAAAGACTCGAAGTGAAAATGAGACTAGCATCGCTTCTGATATTTATGCAGCGACTGTCATCAGAACTGGACTTCAAATGATTTGAGATGAGGTCATTCGAAGCACATTTCCAGTACATGAAGGACGGTAGTGAGAATTCACTCCTACGTTCCCCTCCATGCAGATATTCACAAAATCATTCAGGATAATCTCATTTTATATTGTATGAAACGTTTCCGTGTACATTAGAATAGAGCCAGTAGCTGAGCGTCTGATTGAGAAGTGAATATTTCTTCTCTCAATTCTCTGGTCTTTTAAATGACTAAATGGAGATTTTCTCCATATTGAAGTCACATTTCTGCTAGTTTCTCCCAATGTGCTTGCTAATACTGAACATGACCAAACGTGGAACACTCGCAGGTATCACACACACCAGTGCATATTTCACGTTTCGGCTTGAATCACAAAGCCTTGATTTCTCATCGAGACGTCTACCATGATATTCGACTAAGGGTTGAGTTAGAAGATGAGAGAGAAGTCGTTCGAGGTTTCACGCAGGATGATTGCTTAGCATTCTCTCGTGTATCATTATCACGGAATTTCATTTTGTCATCACTTGAATAGGTGTAAATTATTTCTTGAAAAAAGAGGGATTCGCGAATGCCAAAGCCATAATGCAGATCCATCGAGGTGAGTGATATTTTGTCTTCTTCTTGTCCTCCTCCTCCTCCATCATCATCATCATCATCATGGACTCGAATCACCACTCATTGTGGCCGTGAATTCCACACAGTCATTCGAAAGGATTTCTTGCATTCGATGTTTGATTTCAGGACACTCTACCACATCCGCACACCACTCTGAACTGATTCAGGCGACAACAGTCGCGGTCTGTAGACGAGTCTTCCGTGTGCTTCCCTTATCATTCGCTAATTTATGCTCACAAGTCTTGTTTCCAGCATTCATATCATGACTGCATGAAATTGGATTTCCGCTTCACATGTGTTTCAGGTTTCACTGAAAAATACTGTCTGTCAGCATTGAACGAATTCATCAAGTACGAGGGCGTAAAACGTGAGTTGAGTATTCCGTGTATTACACTTTTGAAAAGAGAACTCGACATTTTCAGCAGGAGAACACAGTCACACATTGAAGTGAATATTGCATTTGAGCGAGAACTGATTTCAAAGCTAACCTCTTCTTTGAGATTTCCGACACAATTTTGAATTCATTTCATTTGACCTGATAGACAGTGATGTAAATCGCAAACAGTCTCTCCACTCTGCTAATCGTGCTCATTTACTTCTCATATTCACTTACAGTTTCATCGGACTCAAACAAACAAATGAAGGTGCTTAATGACGCGGTGGGAAATTTCAACAAATCTGCTGGTGAGTTGAACAAATCGTCTATCTATCAGTGTCACTAGGGAGAGTGAGTAATCCATGTGCTTCATGCACCAGATTAATAAATTCCACGGTTCAGTGATCATGTCGTCTTCACCCTATCTTGGGGAATTCTTTTGATTTCCTGCTACCCTGGCAAAAAAGTGACTTGTCTCACATTTCGCTTAGCTCCTCTACTCCTCAGATGGATAGTGTTGCAAGACTCCTCAACAGAACAAGCAAGTCAACCTCATCATCCAGGTCATGAGTGTCTTTATCATCAAAGAAGCATCACCCTCGGGAAGTTGGGAGTTATGTTATGCTTCCAGGAGACTTGATACGGCGTTGTTATGGAGCAACATCTTCGAACTTGAGTATTCCTCTTTGTGAAATATTGAATATTCATGTGATTATAGGCCGTTCCGATAGCAGATGAGATTGTCATATGTCGACACGTACAGGAAACATTGCATCCCTCCTCAGTTCCGTCGCCTAACTAGACGTACTGGAACAATCTGTAATCGAATGTTGATAGGTGAGTGCACATATAGAAAATGACTTCTCAGAATATGGTTCACACATTATGCGGGGAAGCACCAGAGACTTCATTGTTTGTAAGTGCCTTTCTTCAAGTTGACGGTTCACTAGTTGTCAATGGAGTTGAAGATTGAACGATCAATTCTTGGTTGTTTGCTCAAAATCAACTTCCCCGATTTTCGCGGAGGCATCAATACGACAGTCATCGTCTCATCGGTCGCTGTTCAGAAAGAAGAGTGAAACATCGTCAGAAGTAATATAACGATTTATTATTGTAATATTTGTTTACAGACCTTAGTTCGCTTATTCCTTTTATATGTTGGTGTAACAATAAACAAATCTAAAGCGGCAGATCGGTGTTTTGGTTTTTGCGTCCGTTATAACTAAGCGTTTCTGAGAAATCTTCGAAGAACAGCGTGGGCCCGAGCGTAGCGAGAGCTGGGCATTAACGGTTTATGAGACGTGATTGACAGTTTCTGACGATAGAAACAGATCTGGCGGATTCAAACAGTTGGTGAAAGTTTGGATAGTCGCCGTTCATTTTTCCTGGTGCCGGTCAAGTCCTCTTTGAACAAGCAATATCTGGAACTTTTTGGAATTGGGTCAAGTTCAACAATGCCTGGGTCAAAGAAGGGACAGAGTGTCTTGGATGCAAACAGGAAAGTAAGTCATGGTGACTTGTCTGTTAATTGTAACGATGTGTCTGATGTTAAGCATGACATGGTTGATGTTACTGTTTCGCCGTTCAGGGATAATAGGAACATCAAACTCCCTAAATTTGAACCACGGTGTTTTGATGGAAACCCGGCTGATTATTTACAATTTGTAAAGGAGTTTGAGATCATGTTGAGTGGTTTTTTATTAAATGATGAATTGAAGTTAATGTATTTGATGAGATATTGCACTGGAGATGCTGCAAGAGCTATACAGTGTTGTAAGTTTATGAAGCCAAAAGAGGGCTACTACGAGGCTATGAGCATATTACGTCAAAGGTTTGGAAGACCTTCGATGATTGCAGGGAAATTATTCGAGGCTGTTAAGGGTAATGGTGGTCAATTACAGGATGACTCCCAGGCACTCACTGAGTTTTTAGATAATTTGCTAATTTACAAGAATGGAATGATTTCGATGAATCGCATGAGTGACCTCAACTCGAGTTTTATACTAGAAGTAATAGCAAGACGTCTACCTACTCGACTGCAAAGGAAGTGGGTGAAGATGAGCTCCCGTATGGAGGATGAGGGTATCGAGCCAAAGTTTGATGATATCCTGAAACTGGTAAATACTAGTGTCAATCAATCTATGAGCAAGTTCGCCAGTCTATTACATCTCACCCCTAGAATAGAGCAGTCTGAGATCAAAATGCAATCATTGATGACGAGTAGGCCTCAGAGAGGTGGATATCGAGAAAGCTCCATGATGTCTAGTAATGCATATAGACCTAGTGAGTGTAACAGGTTTCGTAGTACATCCTCAACAGATAAGTTACAAGATGCAAGACAAACACGGTTGTGGTTTACACGTGTGCAAGAGGTGCATACAGAAGTGAACTGTGAACCGGTGAGCAAGTTCAGTGATAAGCTAAATGTAAACTCCAGGTCTGACTCCGAATTGTGTGACGATAACGGTGCGGTGAAGAAGTCTGTAGTTGCAACTGGTAAGCCGTTGTTGAATAGAGTGTCACAGAATAGAGTTACTGCTTCAGAGTGCAGTTCTGACTCCACAAGTTTACAAGGTATTACTAGTCAGAGTGAAGTTATAAAACCTTTTATGATTTGTGAGGAGGAACCAAAATTGTCTACTTCTGTTATTAAAGAGTTTGAAAATGATGAAGTTGACGGTAAAGTGAATATTCGTGATAATGATCATGATACTTCACAGTTGTCTTTGGTTGATCATTATGAGATGAGGGATATGCCTACTACTGCTAAGTTAAATAAAGGTTCTGTACAACTACAACGTGAAGTAGAATTGAACGCAGATGCAGTTCCAAAAGGTGTGCATACTTGTGAGACAGTCAGTGTAATTGATCAGCGTGTAGCCCACCTATCATCAGATGATAGTGCTAAACCCGAACTAGTAGTGAAAGACAGCAGTGGTGGTAATCTTGCAGTTGGACAACTATCTGAGAGCCGAACAAGAACAGCTTCTGATCCACCACTAAGTTCATCACCTTGTGTCACTCAGTCATCGTTGGTGCTGTCATCCACAATGAAACAGACACCCATCAACTCAAGTATCTTGTGCAATGACTATGGTAGTATCAGTTCGTTTGAAAGGACGAATATCAATGGTCAGTTTAGTGTGGATAAGCCAAGTGTAAAGGAGAGAGTTATTGTTAAATTGACTTGCACGAATAAAGGCATTTCTAGTTTCAAGTTACTATTTGAATGTTATTATCTTTGGTGTAAATTACTCTGTTTCTACACTTGGTTGATGAGATATGTCGTGTGTTTGTTGGTCATCTATATTCTACGATAC